TGTATTGGTGTTACCATTAAAAAAGAAAAAATGAAATAAAAGCTAAAAGACAAAAATAAAATTTTTCTAAGAAAGAATGGACTGGTGGCTCTGATATTACCATTTAAGTAGAAAAAAATAAAATAAAACTAAAAATCAATTTAATTATTTTTTGTAAGGAAGAATGAATTACTGGCATCGGTATTAAAATTTATGAAGAAAGAAAATAAACAAATAACAAACAATGATAAAATCGCACATAATTTTTTGTATTTTTCAAATATGCAATAATAAGTATACAGTGTTGTAATTTTCAAAAAAATCTAAAAAGGAATGAATCAGTGGCATTGGTATTACTCTTAAAAAGTAAAGAAAATAAAACAACAACTAAATGGAAAAAATATATACAGAAGAATGAACTTGCAACATTGGTATTATCCTTTACAAATAAAAACCTGCACACAACTTTACACTAAAATTTCACTATGCAATGAATAATCATATAATAGTGCAATTTGTTCATAAATTTTGTAGTATTTGTGTGTTTACATTTACACTCACACAACATCCGAAAATACCCACAAAAGAAAAAAATGACTAATAAGTAAAAATAAAAAATAGAAGGAAAAAACAAACAAAAACAGAAGAAAAAAAAAGAACAAAGCGAGGGAGGGAATAAATTGACCAACCCAAATATGTGGTCAGTAAAAAGGCTAAACCAACTTAGAGAACATAATAGGAAAAAAGGAAGCACAAATTTCAAATCAGAAATCAATGGCCAAAAATATCAACAGACCCAAAATCAATTTTCAGGCGACTTACATATAGCTTAAGTTATGCCAAAAATATTCATACCCGTAATAACCATGTAAAAAAGAAAAACCGACTGAAAAATATAAAGAAAAGCAAAAGCGAAACACATACAAAAAAACAGGCATGTGTCACGGGCTTCAAGCCCAATAGAAAAATCGACTTATCCAAACAGGGGCAAGTCAAAAATTCAACCTAAGTGAAAAAATTGACTTACCCCAGACAGGGGCAAGTCAAAAGATAATGTAAGAGTTTCTAAAAACAACGGTGTAAGCAATAATGACACGAGACAGGAGGAAAAGCGGCACAAATCTTGACAAAAGAAAATCAAAGGTCCAAAAAATGACTTGCCTAAATTTAAAATATTAGGCGACTTGATTATATAAAAATCTGGCGTTGTTAAATATCAGTCGACCGAGACTTGGTCAAGTCTCAATCGATGATATATTCGTTAGATCTTGTATGAAGATTCGTGCAAAATTTTCTTTTTAGTTGTTTTCTATTTCTTTTTTTATCTAGTATAATATTACTTGATTGAGGATTGGTTAAGTCCCACTCGATTGAGATCTAGCCACACCTATAAAAATTAGGATGTGACAGGGTCTCAGTCGACTGAAACTTAACCAAGTCTCAATTAAGTTATATATTATATAAGAAGAAAAAGGAAAAACTAAAAGGAATTGTTTTGCACGAATCTCAATGCTAGATCAAAAGAATAGAGCATCATCCGAGACATAACAAAGTCTCAGTCGACTGAGACTTAGCAAAACTGTAAAAATTAACAAGAACAGGTAGGTAAATGATGTGTTTAACTTTATAGTAACTCCCATTACAATGATTTGAGAGGGCATATATGTCGAGATTACCGCAATGATTTTTTCCCAGCCGATCCTTAAGGGCGTGTTTGGTTGCCCGCATTAGGCCCAGCCTGGCCCGGGCGGGAAGAATTTGGCCCGTTTGGTTTCCTGCATTCACTGTGCGGCCCGCATCGCACGAAACTTAAAGCACGTTCAGGCCAGGCCCAGGGGAAACGCATGAATCGGCAGTAGCTCGCGAGCCTGGCTCGGGCGAGGCAGGGGAGGGCGACGTGCTTCTCCGCTCGTGCGAGCAGGGGAGATGGCGCGAGCTCGCCCGCGTGGCCGAAAAATCGGCGGGAGGATTTCGGCTCACCTCCCGCCGCTCCACCCTTATTTAGCCCCTCCCTCACCGTCCCAACTCCCGCCACCATTCTTCCTCCGTTCGCACTTTCCCGCCGATGCGCATCGGCACCGACGAGCAGGTAAGCGGCGCATCTTCATCAGCCGGCGGTCCACGGCGTCGGAGCTCCTTCACCGGCCGACGTTCATCTTCCACCACTGCCCCCTCGTCCTCAAGCTGCAACCATGGCCTCTGTGAGTTCAATCCCCCTTTCTCTCTGTTTCTTCTAGCTAGATCTGAGCTGCAACTAGGGTTTGATCCAGATGCATGGTTGATTAGTGGTCTGATCTGTGAGCTGATATGGTTGGTTGCTATGTCGCGGTTGCAATTTGTGGTAGGGCTAGATGTTCAAGCATGTGGTAGGCTAGATTAGTAGTAGAGTTTGAAGTTGAACCCTGTGCTTGTGTTGAATCATGCTTAGATCTGTGATTTGTAGCTATTGGTGGTCCATTTGTAGCATGCTGTTTGTTGTAGATGTATGTTCCTGCTCATAGATTGTCTGGTATGCTTAGTATGATAGTGATGAAGCATGTGCTTGCTATGATAGTGATGAACCATGTACATGTATGCTCCTGCTTTCATGGATTATCCGGTATGTTGTGTGCTATGCTCACTGTCAATGCGTGCTACGATTGTAGGAATGACCACGTAGACGCAAGATCTTAGTCAGGCCCTTGTCGTGTCTGATAGCCAGTTTGCTCCATTGTTTGTCGAGGACTCGCAGCCTATGTCCGAGATGGCACCTGATTCAGAGGTGTTCAAGTCTGATTCCCTCTATGTGCCAGTAGTGCTTGTTGAGCCAACTCCTCCTACTACTGCTGCTGCCGCTGCAATTAAGCTAGCAGCAGCAAAGGCAAAGAAGGATGGTAGGTCGAACAACATGAAGTGGCAGCCGTTCATGTCCACATCCGTGCTGAACAAGATGTGTGAGCTCATCTCTAGTGGAGTTAGGACTAACAAGGGCTTCAAGGAGGTGCACTTGAACACCGTTGCGAAGCGGGTGTTTGAGTTCTGTGGGCAAGAGGTGTCTGCCACCCAGGTGTACAACCACCTAAGGAAGTGGAGAAGTCGATGGATCCAAGTGTCCAAGCTGAGAGCGGCGCCTCATGGGATGAGAACACTTGCTCCATAGTTCTGGAGGCAGAGCACTACGCCGGCCATGTCGCGGTTAGCTCATAGCCCTCTGCCTTTTCATGCTGTCCACCATTACCTACTCCTAATCGCAACTAACAACACTTGTGTTTCATTCTTAGGACCACCCAAGGGACGCTGAGTTCCTCAACACACCCATCCAGAACTACAACCAGATGCAGCACATCTTCTCCTTCGGGCTGGCAACTGGGAAGCATGACATGGGCTCGGGTGAGCCTCTTGGTTCTCCCATGCCAGACTTCCCTGGGACACCGGACGTCGAGGTCCTTGATGGCCCTGACAAGCCCGCTGCGAAGCCCTTCGACAAGGCATTTGACCCCGTCCATGATAGGAAGAGGAAGAGAGGAGGCTTGATGGAGGAGGAGATCAATGTCTTTGCAGCATGACTGAGGCGGTGAAGGAGGTGGCAACAACCATCAGGGAGTGCAAGCCCCTCGACGTCCACCCTGACCTGTATGGCGCTGTCATGACCCAGGGTGGATTCAGTGACGAGGCTCTCATGGCAGCTCTCAGCCACCTGCTTGACAACAAGGCCCAGGGTGTTGGGTTCGTTGCCATGGCCGACGCTCACAAGGTGCTGTGGGTCAGGAGCTGGCTCGGCAAGCACTACTACTAGAGTAGTGCTGCCTGCGAGTGTGCATGATCCCCGACGGTGAAGGCGGTGGCGACGACGACGATGATGACGATGGCGACGTACATTTTGTGTAGCAAGGGCTCAAAAACTATTTGATGGTCTGTATATTTTGGTGAGGTGGTATATACTAACCCCTCACGCTGATGGTGAACTTGCGGTGGTAGGACGATGCCCTCTTTTGGATGTGGTGGTAGGTTAACACCAAGGTAGTGCTAGGTTGAACTTGCTATGTCGTATGATCATGCATGCTTTACTTCTCTTCTGCTCCATTGTTATTTGTGTGCTACTTTGCTTGCTACTTGTGCTCCATTGATTTGCTGCTTCAACTCTTGCTCTTGTGCATTGCTAGGGCAAGTGGTATGCCGTGTTCATCGATGAGGTTTCAGGGGTTTATAGTTCATGGGAAGAAGCCAATGCATAAGTGGCATCGTATAGCAACAACAACTATAGAGGGTTCAAGACTAGGCAGGAAACAGAACAAGCTTACTCCGCCTGGGTGCGAAAGCACGGAGGCAGCAGTGTCGACAGTGCCAAGGTTGGAGTTGTCAAAGTGGAAATTGCTAAGGTGGATCGTCAGTTCGGCCTGAAGCTGAAGAACTTCATCATCTTCGCCCAGTTCATCACCATTGCTGTGTTGTGGCGTTGGTGTGCTAGGTGTGATCATTGTGGGTAAGCTCATCAACTAGGATATAAGGTAAGCACAACATGTACGCCGTATGCAACCAAACACCGTGTTCATGTGCCGCTAGGGCCAATGCAGCCAACCAAACAAAGTGCACTTACGTATTACCTAATGCAGGGACTAGAGATGCAGGCAACCAAATAAGTTGCATATCGCGTATTAGGGCCTGTTTTTCCTCAATCAGTCTGGGTTGAGAAGGGTATGCAATGCGACTACTGTTCTAAAGTGAAAACAAACACGCCCTAATTTTCTTTCCAAGGTAGTCTATGTTTCTTCTGTCTTTGTTCTTTTGAGAGGGGCAAACTAGCCCCCATGCTTAATCATATATTCCACCAAAGCAAAAAAAAAAAAAAATCGATCGCCAAGAACGACAACAACAGTAACACAATTACACAACACACAAGAATGGAGTACGTACACACATACATACATACATACATACAATAACGGAAACAAACTCATCCTGGCGGCCTAGCTAGACCTCCTCGTGTACATCAATCATTTAATTTCATATCTGTCAATGGATTAATTAACTGGGTCAGGGCTTCAGGCGGGGAGGTAGGACGGCGGCAGCGGCAGGCCGACGACCTTGCCGCAGCGGAGGGCGTTCTCTGGCATGTTGTACTCGTCGCGCAGCGACCTCGCCGGCGAGACGACGCTCATGTAGAGCTGCTCCCCGAGGTAGTGCCTCTCCCACAGGTTGGTCCTCACGTTCCACATCCCCGCGTTGTCGAACGTCAGCATCACCGCCGACCACGACCGCGGGTACACCTGGATCGTGTGCCTGCTCACCGCGTCCAGCAGGTTGTACGTCTTCCTCTCCGCCGCCGTCCACTTCCCCGGCCCCATCCTGCAATACCCACATGCATCAACTCCATTTCCATTAATTCCATCAGCGCCGCCGCCCGTACATGCAATGCATGCCTGAGCACAAGAACTTAGGGTTACCCGACGGCGAAGAAGGCGTAGCCGTCGATGTGGACGGAGTCCATGCTCTTCTCGGGGTTCTCGAAGACGACCTCGATGAAGGTGCGGAACTCGGCGGTGATGACGTTGGGCACGACGTGCATGGGGCCGTTCACGGCAGGGGGTTCGTCGCCCATTTGGTTGTAATGGAACACCTGGTCGCTGACGTTGAAGTACTCGGCGAGCTTCAGGGGTGTGTCGCCGTCCACGTGGGACACGCCGTTGAAGCCGTACCTGAGCTTGCCCTCGACATGGCCGCGGGTGACCATGAGCTTGATGGTGCGGGTGATGTTGATCTGCCCGTAGTGGTAGGACCCCTGCGGGTTGGGACGCGCCGCGCTGGCCGTCAGGTTCCACCGGAAGGACCTCCACTGGTTGATCGACCAGGCCCAGCCGGCCGGCGGCTCCGGGACGTTAGCCGCCGGCGGGGTGTTGGAGCCGGCGTAGCGGATGACGGCGGAGACGGAGCTGGGGCCGGCCATGAACCTGGTGGAGGCCACCATGAGGTAGTCCGCGGGCTTCTGGTCGGCGTCGACGAGGACGGACATGCACTGGCCCACGTGCACGTCGAGCGACTCGTACAGGCCCTGTATCGTGTGGGAGCCGTCCATCTCGACGAGCTTCATGTCGTGGCCCTGGATGCGGAAGTTGAGCGACGACTTGATGCCGACGTTGCAGATGCGGAGCTGGTACGTCTTGGCGGCCTCCCAGGTGAACATGGGCGGGTTGGCCGCCTCCTTGCCGCCCCTGCCGTTGATGAGCACGCCCGCGGGGCGGCCGATGCTGCGGCCGGCGTCGAGGAGGCCGGCCATGACGGCGTGGTCCTTGGTGAACCAGTCGCCGATGAGGACCTGCAGGTCGTCGGCGGGCGGGTCGTAGGGGACCGGGATGAGCAGGCGGCTGACGACGCTGATGAGGCCGAAGCCGCCGACGACGCGCTGCATGCCGATGGAGGGGAAGTAGAAGAAGGTGCCGATCTGGTCCTTGGGCTGCCAGTGGTAGGTGTAGTTGGTGCCGGGGGCGACGGGGCAGTTGGTGCCCGGGAGGCCGTCCTGCCACGAGTTCTTGCGGTGCTGGATGCCGTTCCAGGTGAAGAGCAGCGGCTGGTCCAGCTGGTTGAAGACGTTGATGACGATGTTGTTGTTGGAGGAGCAGTTGATCCGGGGGCCCGGGAACTCGTCGTTGATGAGGATCACCTTCTGCGGCGTGCCCACGATGTTCTTGGTGCCGTACGTCACGTGCCACTCCATGAACACGTACGGGTCCTCGGCCCGGGCCACCGTCGTGGACAGCAGCAGCAGCGCCAGCAGGAGGACGCCCCCCGCCGCCGTCCGGCGCATTGTCATCGTCGTCGTCATGAAAACCAAGATCGGTGGCAGGCGGGCGGGCTAGCTGGGCGGACTGGCGAGCGCTATATATCAAGTTCTGCTCTCTGCATCACAAAATACCAACACATTCGAATGAATTGATCGGAAACTGCATGCATCCGACGACGATTTGCAGGCTGCGTGCGTGCGTACCTTGAAGGATTTGTAATGTAGGAGTTGCGGGCGGCGGGATAGGTGGGTGGTCTATGAGGATGCCATGGAAGACGTCCCCTGGTTGTGGGAGGGGTGGAGGACGGTGTGGAGAAGGATGTGGAGACCGGGGAGGTCAACCGGGGAGCTTCGGGGTGAGGAGGGGGCGCCGTGGCAGGGATTTATAGGTAGCGCCGCGCATGGCGGGGCGAAGGAGCGGTGCCGAGAAATGGCCGGAAGCAGGTATGCAGCGTGTGTCTGTCTCGCCGCCGTTGCCGCTCTGTCCCTGTTTAGACCTGTTCCAGCGTCTCCCCGGCCAGTTCGGGCCAGGACAGCCCAGCACAGCACGCACATAGCTGCAGCCAGCCCTTAGATCCTGCCATGTTGACAGGTTTTGGCGCAGAAATGCCTTTTTGTGCTCGGGCTACATGAAGTTCTTCTTAAAAAAATCCAAGAAAAAAATGTTTCAATGATTAAAAAATTCTAAAACATTTCCAGAATATCATACGGATGTATACCCCATCTCCATGTACGTAAATTTTTATGACAAAATACATTGACACGCGAGCTAGCTACACAAAAAAGACAAATTGGAGATTTTGAACACAGTGAACAGTATGTGCTCTCTTAACTACTCTATATAGAACCGACGATTTTTCACTTCTTTCCGTGTATCTCGCAAACCGATGTATTTTCACGTGTAGTATACATGCATATGTCAATGTAATTTTTTCAAAGTTTAAAATGTGATTTTTTGAATGTTTCGGAAAAGGTGTTCCATGTAGCCCGAGCACCAAACCACTGCACTCGGTATTGGTGTGCTTTTGTTCGAAGTAACTTGTACTTCTCAAGATAATGAATTTATTTTTTTTGGTTGCAAATTTTTGTAGGTAGCTTACCAAGCTGACCGCTTGGTCAAGGTAATGTATTGTTG